ATCGTCTTCGGCATACACAGCAGGTGTATATTTCTGGCCCAGGGTTTGACTCGATGCCAGCCCTGAGTAGGAGAATGCGTAGTGAATGTTGCCCTATGGACGGACACTTCTGAGATACTTCGCCGACCTAAACGGGGTTAGATCGCCGAAACAACAGCCCTTGGTCGGGTGAAACCCGAGTCATTCCGGTACGTAGAACCGGCTGTCGTGGGAATGTAGTAGAAGTGGCCACCCAAACAGACAGCTGCTTGCAGAGGAGCCCTCGCCTAGGCAGAAAGTAAACGGCTATCTCTCCGAACTTTCTCGCTTCTTCACTGCAAAGTGTCTAGCCCTCTCCCCTACGAAATCCTCCGCGACCCTGTTCACAACCTGGACGAAGGAGGTCAGGCTACCGCTGGGGATTCACGTCGATGACACACCAATTCCGACGGTGAATAACCCCAAAATACTCGGAGTAACATTCGACAGCCTGCTCTCCTTCTCTGCGCACTCAACCGCTATTGTCAATAAAGTACAGAGCCGCAACAAGGTCCTCAAGTCGCTAGCCGGCAGTACTTGGGGCAAAGACAAAGAAACGTTGCTGGCAACATACAAGGCAATAGGCCGGCCGGTCTTGAACTACGCAGCGCCAGTGTGGTCGCCAGGGACTAGTAGGACGCAGTGGACGAAGCTACAGACGGGACAAAATACGGCACTTAGGACAGCGACAGGATGCCTCCTGATGTCGCCAGTTAAAATTCCTCAACAGCCTAGGTTAAGTGTAAAGTTCGAAATTCTTTTTATTATACAGATAACTTTTTACTACTACGCACCTACTAAAGGACTAATTTACAAAAACTTTAAAAGTATTGCATTTAAATTAAATAGCAGCTTGGGGTGGTACATTTTGCCTCCAAGGCATATATAAGTTTGGCTGAACAAATGAGCCACATAAATTTGAGCGCAGTACTTCGTGTCAGCGCCGTGTCAAAAAGTCGGAGAATTTCATAAGAATTTGTTAGCTGAAATAAAATGCACGTTTTTCTTCTAATTTGATTGAAATTTATTTATAATATGCCTCCCGGAAGGTTACGAGTAACAGAGTCATCCCGTTCGATGTTCTCGATAGTTTGCATTGAAACTATCGATGGTATCAGATAATTTTAAAATGCATTGACGATGCTATTTATTTATATAAACTTTTTAGTTTTGTTTGGTTCTTGCAGAATTAGCTAATTTTTACACATATAGCGATTTTCGGTAAATTGTCCTTTCTCTTCGATACAAGAATCTCCAAAACTTGACTAAAACCCCGATTATGGCAACTTAACTTACTTTAACGGAACGTAGAACTTAGAGAATCAAAATGAAACAGATTGCGACGTGGGATTAAGTTACGTTAAGTTTCGGCTGTTCATTTATAAGCAACACCCATTTAACAGAGTTTTTAAGAGAGAGCCATAAGTTGCGTTAAGTTACTATAATCAGACCATAACCCTGGCGTATATCAATAGTTTCTTTCATCGACGCAGAATCACTAACACCATAGTATTGTTCCAAAAAGATATTCAAACTAGTTTTTTTCAAATTTAATTACACCCGATTTTCATGATTCAGGTACTTTAAAGCAATTCTGGTTCATTCTCTTTTGTGTTTTCTATTTGCGAAAATATCAAAAGCAAAACAAGATACTTGAAACCAATTGACGGTACAGATGCATATGGGTGTTTCCTGCGTTACGGACGTTCCATTTGGAGACACTTTATTCATTATAACAACTATAGTAGGTTCTGCATGAACACAAATTTTTTGTCATGAGTAGTCATCATTAATACTTATCTAAAATCACTAAAAATATTTTCCAGAAATATTATATGGTAAGTGTATAGCGATTAAAAGTTCCCGTTCGGACGTTCCCAAAATGGAACTCGTATCGAAGATGACTGATGCTAAATTCTGCGAATCTGTACAAAAAAAACGATGTATGAATGGTTGTTAGAATAATAAGCAGCCATAACCATTGCGTCAACTTAAACTTAAACTAAACGATGTTTAGTAGCTGCCAAAAACTGTTCAAAGTTGTTCGGACGTTCCGATTTTTTCCAATGGATACAATTTTTTTTTTATTTGTTTTTGTTATTTTTATGGCCTTTATAACAATTATATTCAACAATTTTTATGAGCTCGAGGCCGTATTAAATGCAAAGTTATTGTGGAAAAGCAACAATAATTTGAAAAAATGGTAGAAGTGATAGCTATTTCGGAAATCACCACATTTCCTCATCAGACTTCTTTCAGTAGGATTCGAACCGACGATCACCACTGACTCAGCCAGTTGCCTACGCACTGTGCTAAGTTTGTCTTGTTAATTCTTGTTGCTTATTTTCCACTATTTCACTTTGCTAAGCCAACTACAATCAAGCGCAGCTATTCCGCTGCAATTCACTTGATCATGTGGTTGTTGGTTTTGTTGGTTTTTGTTAATATTTCTATTATTAGAATGTTTAACAAAACCAACAACCACATGATCAAGGCCTTTATTAAGGTTCGTTGAAGTTATTTCTTCGTACAAGCAGACGTACATATCGACGCCTCCAAACTGTTCTATGCTAAGTCTGACTAAGTCTAAGCTGACTTAGCATAGTACGGTTTGGAGGCGTCAGTATGTACCATATCTATATACTGTTACTCACAAAATTGAGTATACGGGTTTTTTGTTAATATTCGCAATGTTTTACATGCTAAATTTGTTTTATTTTATTTGTATTGAAATATGGCTTATATTTTAGCAAACCCCAATTAAATCCAAATATGAATCGGTCTACGAAAAATCTGTAAAGCAAACTTTTTAACAAGAATTTCTAAAAAAAGTCAGGTATGCAATTTTATAGTCCATCCAGTTTTAGTATAATAATGTGCAAATTTCAAATGTGTAAACAATTCTCAAAAATCATCGCGAATTTTTAAACATTTGAAATTTGCACATTGTTATACTAAAACTGAATGGGCTATAAAACTACTACCAAATTTTTTTTTAAAATTCTTTTTAAAAAGTTTGCAATTTTGCTAAAACTTTGCAGATTTTTCATATTTTTCGTATACAGTTTCATACTTGGATTTAAATGGGATTGGCTAAAATATAAGCCATATTTTAATACCAAGTTAACAAAAAAATTTTGCAAATACTAACAAAAACAAACCGTATACTCAGTACCTTCATAGAACAATATGAACAAAAGTTGTTTGAACCGTTCAATGAAAGACAAAATGTGTAGTTATCGATTGGTATCTATAAAATTTGTCCAGGCAAATTATTATTTTTTTTTGGTCTTGATTGACACTTTTCAGGAAATACCCATAAGTACTATTCCCTTCTCAACCCCTCTCTTCCACTAGCAAGCAGAATTGAATTCATTACTTGAACCGTGTAAAACCCGGTAATAGGTACAAAAATTGTGATGTGTAAGCAAATCAATATAGCCAAATTCCCATTTTCAAAAATAAAAAAATGCATACTAAGTAGTGCATATAATATAAACAATATACATATTTCCTCAAACAAAGACTATCAATAGTGGCCAACCACCATTCAGATAGTGCAAAAAAATATAACCATTCGATAGTATCGATAGTACCATCGATAGTTTTACAGCTCTAAAGGAGATTGCAGCCAATGCAAATTGTGCATAGAAACAGGTGATGAAGTGGTGCAGTGTGATAAGTACCAGAAAAATTTGCATGCGCAGTGTTCGGATCTGGATAAACGCCAGCTAGCCGATCTGAAGCCCAATCCCAACCAGGTGTTTGTCTGTCATTTCTGTGAAAACCTGCAGCAGACTTCGATCTCACTAGGATTAAATGAAATAAAGCAGATATTAAATCAACTTGACGACCTAAGTAAAGCAATACAATTCATGTCGTCCCAATACGACACCATTTTATGTGGAGTGACTGAAATTAAAAAGAGAATTGAAGCGGTTCAGCGGGAGAATCGAAGTTTGCATGAAGAAGTGTCAGACCTCAAATCGTCGTTAAAGCTCTTAAACGATGAAAGAGTGCAACATGATTGTGTGGTTCGTGGAATCAGTCTTCATGACGGCAAACAATCGGCTAAAGAAGCAACAATATACATTTGTAATAAAATTGGCGCAAATATCGATCCAAGTAATATCATCCAAACTTTTTTCGTGGATAGCAAGCATGCTAAGTCAAAAACAATTGGGTTGTTCACACTTACCTGGTTATCAGATTATCTGGTTAAAAATTATTATTCTGTAGTGTATGTTATTGTTGTAAAGTGAATAAAAATATAACCACATGACCAGATAACCTGATAACCAGGCAAGTGTGAACAACCCAAATGATTGTAAGAATTGCCTATAAAATAAGCAAGGTTCAATTCATGTCAGCCAAATCTAAATTGAGAGAAATCACTGAAATTAAAAATGTGTTAATCCATGACTGTTTAAGCAAAAAGACAATGAAACTATTTAATCATGCAAAGTCTCTTAAGGCGGTGGGTTTCAAATTTTTTCTTGCTAAGGGAAATCATATTGTGGTGAAGAAAAACGAACAGGCGCCTACAATAACAATAAAAACCATAGGAGATGTTGATAAGTTGTTATTAGCTTCTTTGACGACAACAACAAATATGACCACTTCTGCTTTTGCTGCTGACGGTGACGACGCTGTTTCCCGAGACGAGCTCACTTGTTATAGTCGGTGACAGCAGTGCTGTCAGAAATTTAATTTTAAGTATATACGTACATATTTCACTTCACATTTGTGAATTGTAATAAATATTTCAAAAACTTAAAAAAGTATGATGATTATTTAGGAACATATAGATTTTTTAATACTTAGGGGATTCACAAGATTTTTTAAGCGTTGTAAAATCTTAAAATCGTAAAATTTTACAAGGGTTTAAAAATTTTGTTGTTGTCTTGCATAGATAAAGATATTAAAATAATACAACTCGCGCATGTTATGTGTTCAGTACGTTATAACTGATCAGCTGATTTCTGTTTACCTCATTGTGCTTGTGCTTCTTCTTCTGCGCTGCATACCAAAGGAAATTTTTGCAGTCGAAAAATAAAGAACTTTAATATTTAAACAAATGCAGAGCGTTAGTGAAATAAAGGTAAATTAATGCACATGCATATGTAAATACTGATGCTGAATTACTCTTACAAACTGATTTTTCAGGCAAAGACAAAGCGGGTGCGCTGCAATCCTACAAGGAAGTGGGCAGTGGCGGAAGAAAAGGCTTTGGTGGAATTCTTGTTGGCAAGTAGAGATCTTGAGGTTGGTTGTTTGAAAAATGAAATTCTAGACCTTTAAAACTTTCTAAATTTTGTTTTAGAGACCGACAGCTGAAATGTATTACACCAGGTTTGTTATGGAGTATAATGTTGCAGTGGAGTGGAAGGCAGTGCGCTCCAAAGTTCGCTATATGCGTTCTACCTATAACAAGGCCAAAGGATGGGAGGGCTCAACAGGTGCAGGGAGTATGGATGGAGAAACCATTAAATGTAATTCTAGTGAATTACTTATATAAGTTCACCGAATAATACGTACTAGTGTTCGCCCAGCGGTTGAAATTCAACCGCTAAAATTAAGGATAGTTTATGTGAGTTGAGTTGAGCTGAAATAAAATTTGTTGGAATGGGTTAAGTGGAGGGGAGTTTAGCTT